TCCTCCAGCGACGCATGCGGGTCCATGGCCAAAATCGAGAGCTCGGCCGGGGGCAAACTCGGGGGCATCGAAGGGGATGGTGGTGGGCGTGGCGATCTCGGGGGGCTCGGCCTTGCACTCGAGGTCGGGCAGGCAGAGGCGCAGCTTGTCGACGTAGAAGGGAGTCGGGACCGGCTGGGCGGTCTTGGCGAGCAGCAGCTGCTCGCGCATCTTCCAGGCCTGCAGCACGTAGACGGCCAGCGTCAGGTAGTTCTTGTTGGTCATGTCGAAGAGCTCCGGGTGGAACGAGTAGACGACGCCGACCTGCCGCCACGCGCGCTCCACCAGCGACCCGCCCACCAGCGTGCCCTCGGTGCGCCGGCAGAGCTGCCCGGCCATGTACATGAAGATGTCGAGCTGGAAGTGCAGGAGAGAGAACCACGCGAAGCCGTGGTTGGTGGTGGAGTTGTAGTTGGCCTCGTTGTGCTCCAGCGTGCCGATGGCAATCTTGAAGGTGTTGTCCGACGCCGACTTCACCTCGCCCCCCCAGTCGAGCTGCTCCTTGGGAGGGGTCATCAGTTCGTCGAGTTTCTGGAAGAGGTGGTGTTTCATGGCGAGTGCCATCTCGTGCACAGGCCCCGCCGACGAGTCGCAGTATTTGTCAAGAATCGCCTTAAGGTCTTCACGGAGCCGCGCTACCCCCCTACGGTACGTTGCTAGCTGCTCTGCCGTGGGCGCCGCCTTGGAGCCCGTCAACGCCGACTCGTCCTCGGGTATCATGACCACTCCTTCGAAACCGGGCATCTCCATGAGGAACCTGGCAAACCGGTATGTTATCAGGCAGAAGATCATCTCGGTAGGGCCCTCGCGGTCCTGGAACGGCTCCTCCGAGGTCGGGAAGATGTCGGCGTCGTTGACGTTCGAGGGGGACTGCGTGTCGCTGTTTCTTGGCAGCAAGTTGTGACTGAGCCCGGAGAACATGGCGTATTTGGCGTCGGTCATGATGATCTGCCACCAGACGCGTCGTCGCATTTCGGACTCGAAGGGGGAGAGACCCAGGGTGGTGCCGTCGCGGTGTAGGCCCATCTTTTGGGCGATGCGAATGGCAACGCCACCCAGGATCCAGACGGCATGCCGGTCGTACCGGTCCCTGGAGGGATATCTGTGCGCCTGTGTTAGCGGGGAGCGGCTGACGCGGGCTCTCGAAGGGTTCGCACTAGATAGATGACGAGGGCCTGGAGGATGATCATGTCGTGAGACCTGAGAAAGCCCACCCTGACCAGGGTTAACCGGACCCCCGACGAGTATCTCTGGAGTGCTTCCTCTCTTGCTATCCCGAGGAGGCTTTTGCACTCGTCAGGCGTCATGGCCACGACCGCCATGACAAAGATGGAGAACAGGAGCGCCTCGACGTTCCTAGGCAGTGATTTCGAGTCGGTAATGACGGCCGCCATGTAAGGCTGCACCGACGGAACGTGGATGATCTTGGTTAATGGGTTCACCCTGTCCAAATACACTTGCCACAGGGGAAGTATCTGGGCCGGGGCAGGCCAGAGGTCGGCGAGGTTGACTTCCGGGCTGTCGCCGCCGAGCAGCATCTCGGCGTTATCGTCGGGGGTCATGCTTTCCGGACTCGTCTCGTAGGAATCCTCGTCGTCCATCATTTTTCTCATGGTTCGGACCTGTCAGATGGGTCTACTGTGTAAGCATGCATCAGATGCAAAAGGACCGAGGCACGTGGACGAACTTCCTCGTAGATAACCCCCAACAACGGGCTGTCCACGAAGCGGACGTTTCCGTCTTCGTTGACAAGCTTCCCCGTCGGTTGCCATTCCCGAAGTATCGGTCATGGAGGTGGGCTGGGCGCGTATTAATGACTGCTGTTCGGCCAGCATTTTGGCGTAGTCCTTGATCATGACCTCGCAGCGAGCCAGCCGGTCAGTCAGGTCCTGGTGAGGCCGTCTGCGCTTGCGCGGTTCCGCGGGGGTGCTTGGCGTGCATTTTATGTTCGCCTTCAAGAGAGGTCAGTGAGGAACCAACATGATCAATACCCTCCCCGCCCTATGCATCACTACTCCTGGGACGAGCGACGATGCGCTTGGCGCATTTCGTACCTTGGTGCAGTTGGCGCATGGGAAGTGTCTGTCGCATTTGATCTTGCGATGCTGGCAAAGTTCACAGGCGAGGATACGGCGCGGTGGTTTGCCATGGTTCGGACCGCTCGGATTTGACGCCGTGTTTATCGTGTGACTGTTGTGGTTGCTAGGAACGGGAGTCGAGGCTTGTGAGGTGGTGGCCTCTGAAGCCGGGGTCATTGAAGCATCCATGGCCAGCTGATATGTGGCGGTCGCCGCGGGGACCGAACGTTGGCGGGGTGCCTAGCGCCTTTATAAAGCTGCCAGCGAAGGAATACGCGGAAACAGGTCGAATTCTCAGGTGCATGTAACTGCAAACACCTGGGCATGCACCCATCCAGTTGACATGGGGCCTGAAAAATCAGTGACCGTACCTCGTATGTATGTACAGAAATGGTCCACGGGTAGATAGGGTAGGGCGCCCTGTGCAGTAGCAAAAGTCTGGTTCATAACTGCGGACTGCCGGCTACGTAATGTTCCGGGGATGGCTGTCTCTTTTTGTTTCGAAACCCGCAGCAGCGTCGGACGTCGGCGCACATAATCTCCCTTCTTGGTCCAGGTTCTTGCTCCCAAGTCCGCAGTCCCCGGCCATTGGTTGGCCGAAAAGTCTCCAGGCTGACAAGGGTGGGTCAGCTCCACTGATCAAAGCGCAGCGGACCTAGGCGAGCCAGGTGAGTCTCCCCATGGCACTGGGAAGGTGATTCTGGCCGTCCACGTTCCACAGCAGACGGCACATGCTTGTGAATGGTGTTCTTCGTACGAGCCTACATCCAAGGTGCTTCAAGCCAGGCATCCAATATTAAGGGGCTGGAGGTTCATGGATACATGGTGATCTACTGGTAGAGAGCAAAGCCGGGGAAATAGGGAGCCATGAAGGGGGGCTTCATGTCGAGTAACTCTAGATTACTGTGTGATTGATAACGTTGCCATGGTGTGATGATGCGATGCGAGCCAGGCAGCCCAGGCAGGGTGCAGTGCCCAGGCCCGGGCTCGGTTTGCAAACGGGCAATGCTGTTCAGGTGGTGGTCTCCATTTGTTTTGGTGCTGATTGACTGACTACCTATCTCGGACAGATATCAGCTTGGACTGCCGTTTGCGCTCTGCAATGGCGGGTTGATGAAAGCAGACACTGGCGTGATCTGACTAATTGCGGGACTCCAACTGCTCAACCTCCATAAGTCGAATGGGGGAGATGTAATCTGTCAGTCCGCTTTTGGTCCTCTTCTAGAAATATACCCGTTTTAGATGCAAATGGTAACTCACACTTCTAGTGCAAAACATTCGGATAGGTCGGGTTGAGTCCAAACGAAACCGAGGACCATAGAGTTGGGAGATGTTCCAACCCCTCGGTTCAGGCCTGGAGCTCGGATGGAGAGAAGCCGTATGGTCAGTTTACGCACAGACGGCTTTGGCTGTATCGCTGCCTTCCCAGGCAGTCGACATCGAACTAGCCAATAAGTACCTGCTGTGTATGTGAAGTGGCCAACAACGGGAGAACCCGCACAGGCTTTACTGCCGATCCTGAACTTAAGAGACACAACATAATGGGCACCTCCTTCGGTGCCTCCAAATTTTTATTTGTGTTATGGTTTGGGAACATCATGACCGTTGGCTTCAAGCCGATTGGCGGACGCGAGCCGGCTGCACACGAGGGCACCGAGAGGTGTGGGGTTGACAAGATTGAGAAAAAAGCGTCGTTGGGTCAAGGATGATCTATTGTAGGTGCAGTATCTTGTGGTTCAGGTGTGGTTGCTATCAAGGCTCTTGACGGCACGGCATGTGCCGGGATGAGCTGCCTCTTCTTGGCGCCACGCACCACTTTCAGATGCTTCCTGCTCGTGATATGTGCCTGCCACAACTCTTCAGTCAACAATGTCTTTTTGCAGATCTCGCAGGTCTTGCGGCAGGGCGTGTCTTGGCGGTTGCTCCTTTCAACGGTTCCTGCCAAGACCTCCTTCGCCATTTCGGACACCTCGGCTGGCAAAGGCAGCGGTTCATGGGCGAGGAACTGCCTCGTCAGCTCGACCCCTTTGTCCAGCACCTCTGCTTTCCAGCGCTGAACGTCCGAGCTGTCGAGGAGGTAGAGCCGATCTAGCAGCCTCTCCTCCTGAAGGGACGCAACAGTCTTCATGGTCATCCAGCGCACTTGGTACTTCGCGTACTGGCGTGTCGCGGACTTGGTGTCTTCAATGCCCGCCAGCTTAAGCTTATCCAGCTCGGGGCTGTCAGGGTCTTCCTTCATCGCTGTGAGGTAGGGCTCGAACTGGCGAAAGCCAATCGACTGCCAAATCCCCTTTGAACGATCGACCGTTTCACCGGCCGCAAGTTTCTGGCAGAGGTGGTCATAGACCTCGGCGGTCTCGCCTAGCAGGCCATTCTGCACCATCCTGTCTACGCGCTTGTCGAGCCGCTCGTTGAGCACTTCCCGTTGGGCATAAAGCCAGAACATAAGTATCTCGCCGAGATCGTGGTCTCGCGCGTGGTTCTGCGATGCCCACTTGGACTCTTTCTTGGTCCGCTGCTCAGCGTAAATATCAGATGCGCGACGGCCAGTGGCAAAGTAGATTTCCAACGACGTCCGGATCTTGCGTGCATCGTTCGGGTGCCATTTCTCCGCCATCACGGGATCGACTTCGCGCAATTTCGTCAGCATTGCCTCCGGTGAGTCTGTTAGGATCGGGTGTTTGGCGGCCAGCTCATCACGGTTCGATACGCCGCCTT